CCCCAGAGGTTTTTGCTTTTCGGTTTCGCTTATGGTAAGTTGTGATTCTCTGTAGTGATGTGTAGGTTTCTCCAGTTTTCCGGGAAGCCTTTGGCCCAGCGACCTCCCCTCCCTTATGGATTTGGGGATTTTTGGTTCATTCAGATTTTTACTCATTGTTTAGCAGAGTGGTGACTTCCAAGCTCCTTACATACCAGACAGAAACCAGAAGTCTCTGTCTTGTTCATCAGATTTGCAACTGAGGCCGTGAAGAGGCTGCTTGTGGCTGCTGAGGGCCTGTCTTCGCAGGAAGGATCCTCTGAGGCCTGGACCTCAACAGAACAATTTGGGCCAGTGGCAGGGTGACTGAGGGGAGCAGGAAACCTCTCCTCACAGATGCACATGCCATCCTGGCCCCTGTAGAGGTGACAGTTTTGGAACCCTCAAGACCAAATACTCAGGCTTAGACATCAGCCTTGGCTCCAGCAGAAAACCAGCAGCAGGGAAATCAGTGTGGCTTTGAGTGGTTGCAGGTGGGTGTCAAGGACAAGAACATAGGACAATGGGGCTAAAATCCCTGGGGGAGATCGAGAAGCCTTTATTTGGAAAGGATTTTGCTGGGGCTGATTTTTCTGGTGCCATTTAATTAGACAAATGGCAGCGCAATACAGGGCTTACCATTTACCCCATGTTAAGCCACGTTTCATCCCCTTGTGAGTGTCCACATCTCCTTTTACAGTGTTTCTGGGTTAAGTCAAATGATTGGAACAAAGACAGTCAGGAATATGGCAACTTTTTAGTGGCAGCAAAGAAAACGTGTCCAAATTTGCCATGTAGCGAGCCATAAATAGGTTAGATACAGTTGACCCTTGAACAATGTGGGAGTTACAGGCACCTACCCTCCGTTGTTTGAGAAACTTCGTATCACTTTGACTCCCCCAAAACTTAACTTATAGCCTACTGTTGACCAGAAGCCTTACCAATAATGCAAACAGTTAGCTAACACATTGCATGAGCTATATGTATTATATACTGTATTCTTACAATAAAGTAAGAGAGAAAAGAAAACATTATCCAGAAAATCTTAAGGAAGAAAAAATACATTTCTTTTTTTTAATCTATGCTTTTTTTTAATTATGTTCATTTAGTCAACGTATAGTACCTCATCAGTTTTTGATGGAGTGCTCAGTGACTCATTGGTTGTGTATAACAGCCAGTGCTCATCACGCCATGTGCCTCATACCCATCACCCAGTTACCCCATTCCCCTACCCTTACTCCCCCTCCTTTCTGTAAGCTTCAGTTTGGTTACCAGAGTCCAGAGTTGGGAAAATACATTTCTAGTACTATGCTCTATTTATTGGAAACAACCCACTTGTAAGTGGACCCACATAGTTCAAACTCATGCTGTTTAAGGGTCAACAGTTGTCACATATGGGAAAAGGGGAAACGTGATCTGTGTCTGGGAACCATAGTTTCAACATCAGGAGCTTCACATTGTGAGTTCTTGTGGCCTCAAGTTCCCCGACATTATAAAATAATGGCAACAAAGCCTTACTCAAAGTGAAAGATAGACAGGAACCAGGGAACCCTCTGGCCAGAAAACCGCAATGGAAATGTGAGCCTCTAAGTTTCAGGTTCCAGGAAACTACACCAATGGGAGCCCAAAGCTAAAAAGAGCTGACCCACTGCTTCTGATGACAGCTGATGTGGAGTTCTGTAAGGAGGTGCTGATGTGTTAGTCTCTTCCTATGCACTTGAAGCCCAGACACCCATCTCGAGTTCCCACCTAGTGGAGCTCCACTTTCCATAAGCAAAGCTGGTCACAGGACTTGGTCTGGACGCAGGATGCTCAACTGCCCACAAATGCTATGAGTTTCTTTGCTCCAACCCCCGCCCTCTATCTTCTTTCACTGTTTCCCGGGCCTTAATCTGCCGGGACAGGTGCCAGGGGATGTGCATCTGCTAAGATTGATGGGCTCGGTGCTCACACATGAAATTAGGAAGAGGAAGAAGAGCGGCTCAGACAGTAGCTCCTTTCTACCGCATGCACTGGCTATTGTGAAGCAACACTAGTCCCCAGAAAAATGCTGCAGAGATTAAAACATTCCTCCTTCTGTGTACTGCTTTCGACAGCTACAGTATTTGAACTCTCATTAAACCCAAAGCTCTTTTAATTGTATATGGGACCCTAAGACGATTGTACACATCCTGACATCAAGAGTGTAAGAACCTTGCGTGTGTGTATGCGTGCGTGTGTGTGTGCTTGTATATTTATACGTGTCTTTATGTTGGAAGAGGGAGGGGCAATAACTGACAACTACTTCAGGCATTAAGTTAATAATGAACATTATTTACAATAGCCAAGACATGGAAACAAGTTCATGAATGATTGCATGAACAAGTTGTGGTATATCTACAAATAAGGAAATTCTACTGTTTGTGATAACTTGAATGGAACCTGAGGGTATTAGGCAAGGTCAAATAAGTCAGGGGGAGCAAGGCAAATACTGTATGATCTCACTTGCAGGTGAAATCTAAAAACAAACAAACAAACAAACCAAATTCACAGCAAAAGGGATCAGATTCGTAGTTAACAGAGGTGAGAGATAGGGGGAGGAACAGGAGGAAGGTGGTCACAAGGTACAAACCTCCAGCTATAAGATAAATAACACGACAACCATACCTCACATTGCTGCAGGATAAATAAATAAATAAATAAACATACATATATATATATATATGTACATATGTGTGTGTATATATACATGTAAATAGATATATATATAAAGGAAAAATATATTCTTTTTTTAAGAAAAATACATCCTTGTTTTGCTTTCTCTTTTACTGATTTCTGTAAGAGGTGATGGATATTAACTAATATATGTATACGGCAGTCATCTCACAATATGTGTGAGCGATACATGTCACATATGTAAGCATTAGGCAGTACACCTTAAACATATACAATGACCTATGTCAACTGTATCTCAATAAAACTGGAGGGAAAAGTGTAGCTAACATTTATACATGCTTACTCTGGGCTGGGAGCTCTTCTAAAGGCTTTGCGCATTCTCCCTGTTTACTCATTTTATCCTCAAAACAACTTTAGGAGACGCGTATTACTATTTTCATCATTAGTTCTTTTCTAGGGATGGGGAGGCTAAGTCACAGGCGTGGAGAGGGGTTTGGATCCAGGCTGTTAGTGCTACAGTCCTGGGACTTCAGGGGCTTACTTGCTGGGGTCCATTTCCATTTAAAAGGCACTGTACCTCTAGAAATTTTAGGGTGGTATCTTTCTGGTTTTCTATGTAAAGTATCATGTGGTCTGCAAATAGTGAAAATTTGACTTCTTCTTTGTTGATTTAGATGACTTTATTTCATTTTGTTGTCTGGTTGCTGAGGCTAAGACTTCGAGTATCATGTTGAATAAAAGTGGAAAAAGTGGACATCCCTGTCTCATTCCTGACTTAGGGCAAAAGTTCTCAGGTTTTCCCCATTGAGAATGATATTCACTGTGGGTTTTTCATATACAACCTTTATTATGTTGAGGTATGTCCTCTCTAAACCCTGCCTGTTGAGGGCTTTTATCATGACTGGATGTTGTATTTTGTCAAATGCTTTTTCTGCATCTACTAAAATGATCATATGGGTCTTATCCTTTCTTTTATTAATGTGATATATCATGTTGATTGATTCACAGGTACTGAACCATCCTTGAAACCCAGGAATAAATCCCACTTGATTGTGGTGACTGATTTTTTTTTCTAATGTATTATTGGATTTCGTCTGCTAGTATTTTATGGAGAATTTTTGCACTCATGTTCATCAGAGATATTGGCCTACAGTTCTCTTTTTTAGTGGTGTCTTCATCTGTTGTTGGTACCAGGGTAATGTTGGCCTCATAGAATGAAATTTCAAGTTTGCTTTTCTTTTTGGAATAGTTTGAGGAGAATAAGTATTCAGTCTTTAAATGTTTGGTAAAATTTGCCTGTGAAGCCATTTGGCCCTGGAATTTGCTTGTTAGGAGTGTTTTGGTTTGGTTTTTAAGATTTTATTTATTTATTTATTTATTTATTTATTTATTTGAGAGAGAGAGGGAGTGACTGCTAGCCACGTTGGGGGAGGAGCACAGGGAGAAGCAGAGAATCTCAAGTCAACTCTGTGCTGAGCATGGAGCCCCACTCAGCACCCTCTCTCATGACCCTGAGATCATGACCCGAGCCAAAACCAACCAAGACTTAGATGCTCAATCAACTGAGCCACCCAGGTGCCTCTGTTGGGAGTGTTTTGATTACCAGTTTAATTTCTTTGCTTGTTATCAGTCTGTTCAAGTTTTCTATTTCTTCCTGTTTCAGTTCTAGTAGTTTCTATGTTTCTAGGAAGTTATCTATTTCTACTCTCTGATCCAGTAATCACACTACTGGGTATTTATCCAAAGAATACAAAAATACTAATTCAAAGGGATACATGCACCCCAATGTTTATAGCTGCTTTATCTACAATACCCAAATTATGGAAACAGCCCAAGTGTCCAACGGCTGATGAATGGACAAGGAAGAGGAAGTATATATATACACAGTGGAATATTAGCCATAATAAGGAATAAAATCTTACCATTTTCAATGACATGAATGGAGCTAGAGAGTAGTATGCTAAGTGAGATAAGTCAGCCAGAGGAAGGCAGATACCATATGATTTCACTCATATGTAGAATTTAAGAAATAGATGATCATAGGGGAAAATAGAGAAAGAGAGGTAAACCAAGAAACAGACTCTAGAGAAAAAAACTGATGGTCACCAGAGGGGAGGTGGGTGTGGGATGGGTAAAATAGGTGATGGGGATTAAGGAGTGCACTTGAGGTGAGCACTGGGTGACGTATGGAAGTGTTGAATCACTATATTGTACACCTGAAACTAACATTATACTGTATGTTAACTAACTGTAATTTGAATAAAAACTTAAAAAACAGCAAAAAATTAAAAATGGCACTGTATTCTTGAGACTACCTAATTCTGCAATTCGATTTAATTCCCCTGATACAGCTGGAAGAGCCTTTTCTGCAGTAGCTTCCCCATTCAGATCTTTGCTTGCAGGAACATGTTGGGAAGTTGGAACCTTTGCCTGTAGGGTAGGAAAACAGCAGATTAGGGGAATGGAATGTCACATTTCAAGACATGTCTAGGGAAAAAAATTATTTAGAACATAGAGTTTCTTTGACTCCTTTCTCCTTCCTTTCAACAATGGCTTTCTGACATTCCTTCTCTCATTGACAGGCATCTACATAGTCCAAGACCAAAAGAAAACACCTCACTTCTTCCCTAAACTCTAAGTCTTCTGGGCACTGCAAGGACTGGGATGCATTTGTCTGCCAGTGGTCAGTTGTCGAGGGTGAACACAACTAAAATGTTAGAGAAGGTTTGATCTCACATTATGTAATGAGGAAATGTCTTCACCTCTGCAGCAACTATGTAATCATAACTGTAGCCACCATTTAATAGAATTGTCACCATTGTTTAAGCAGTATCATATTCTCTCAGTAATCCACAAGATAACCTTATTAACCCCAGTTTACAGACGAGAAAACTAGAGCTTCTGATTCCTCCTCTGGCTGTCTTCACTCCAGCCACACCAAATTTTTCTTTTAATTTTCCTTGCTCCTTTCTGTCAAAAGTCTTTAGCCTACACTGTTGCTTTTGATTATATACTATTGACCTCACCCTCTAACTTGTAATTCAGTTTAAAATTGATCTCAGTGAGTAGTCATATATTCATTAGTGTCATTTTTTAATAATGCCTCTCTCTCACCCGATCCTCTGAAGTCCCTAAGAATGGGGATGCAGGTTCTTTGCTTATTATCATATCATAAGAAATTGGTGCAATACCAGGGACATGGCAGGCACTCGATAATATAGGTTGCATTCATTAATTTGCCCAAATCAGCAGGGCTAAGAGCCAAACCAAATTCTGCCTGGCTCCAAACCCTGAACTCTATTGTGCTATGCCACCTCCAACCTATTCATGGCACTTTAGGAAAATAAATAAGTCTTAAATTAATAACCTACATAGAGATGCCAAGAAAATGGAGCCGCAAGACAAGAAAATGGCAGACAACAGGACAATCACAATTGCAAAAGGTAAGCCTTGGTCTGAAAGTCATTGCAAAGTCTTTCAACCTTTGAAGTTGTGGAGACTGATCTACCTGTCTTCTGTCATAGTTATCTGTCCTTGTGTATATCTAGAAATCTGTGACTTCTACCACTCTTCCTACTCTTTGCCCATCCCACACTGAATTTCAGTGTTTGTCATCCACATTTGTCACTTAGACAGGTGGATAGATAAATGTGATAGCTATATGAAGGATAGAGACAATACAGATAAATATACGTATGCATGTCCATCCTTTGGGAAAAGATTAAAATGGATGCTGAGTCACCATGGAAAAATAAAACTTCAAACTATGAATTCTTTTTCTAAATTTTTTTTTCGCTGTTTATAGTCTACTTTCATTTTCCCCTTCGTTCCACCAGTTATAACTCATAACTTCAGTTGGAAATGTCAGTTTCTTGCCTTAGAGATCCTTGCACTCTCCAGCTCACACCTCAGCAAACAACAATACGTTTGCCATTTATTGAGCAACTATCATGCACCTGGCACACAGCACTTCACTTACATGCCCTTGTGCAATAGTCTGCTCATCTAAGGTCTCTATCAAGGTTCTCATTGCACAGGTTAGGAGAGTAGGGCTCCAAAAGGTAGAGTAGTTTCCCAAGGTTACACTTCCAGTGTGGAGCAGAACCAGAATTCCAATCACCCCGATCCCAATGTCTTTGTGTTCTTCCTGCCACACTGAAAAATGGCAAGAACATTTGAACCCAATTTAAAAGAAGTAATAAAGCCAATCATCTCAATGGCAGATGCTGCTTGACCCATACGAATACTGTAAGGGCAGATGACAAGCTACACTTACCTTTTCCTTCATTGTCTCAAACTTTCTCTCCCTACTCACTTCCTCTCTCCACTTGCTCCTGCATGAAGGAAAAGAAGCGTGCTTGACTAGTCGTCTGGATTATGCCAAAAAATTAATTCTGCATTCGAATGAAGAAAGATAAAAGATTCAAGAAGAAAAATAAAAAGTAAGTATCATTTATTGACTGCCTTCTTTATGCCAAGTGCTTTACAAATGATGACCCACTGACAATAATGCGTACAGTGGCGTTTTGTGGATAAGGTACACTTGGACAGGCTAAGAAACTAAGTCTCAGCATTTCATTATGAGTCATATCTTTTCACTTCGGAAACTTCTTCTGGCCAGTGTCACCCGCATGCACGTATAAATCACCAGCCAAATGCTGATTACTCCCAAATTTAATACTCTAGGTCCCATCTGTCTCTTCGTTCCCAATCATCAATTCTCAACTTTTTCAGCTCCTGGAATCTCTACATTTTTCAGAAGTTTTGACAACCTCAAAGAATTTTGCTCATGTAGATTACATCAATCAATGTTTATTGTGTTAGAAATTGAAACTGAGAAAAAACTTAAATTTACCTATTAATTTAAAAATACGGATTCATGGCATGTTAATTACATTTTATGAAAAATAGCTCTGTTTTCCAAAACAAAAAACCATGTGCTGAAGAGAATGTCATTGTTTTGCAGTTTGCAAATCTCTTTAATGTCTGTATTAATAGAAAGCACTTGGGTTCTCATATCTGTCTCTGCCTTTGGTCTGTTATAATATTGACAACAACTGGCATCGTACACATATATAGTTAGAAAGAGGAGTGCCTTAATAGCTCCCCCATTTTTCTCTAACTAATAAATGGACACTACCCAGAAGATACATAATTACATTACTCAAATGTTTAACCTTTCTCCGCAAATATGTTGTGATCTACTTGATGTCACAAGAGTTTACCCCAGGAGGGATCCCTTAGCGCAAACAGGATATACACCAGGAACTTCATGTTGTGGGTGCGACCTACACAAGCCCAACTCTCACCTTTTTCTGAAACTATACAAGCGCCTGTGCCTAGAATAGATCACCTGTATGTAGCTGGAGTTCTTAAGGGTGGGATAGAAAACAGCTGTGATCCTTCTAAGAAAAGCAGTAATTAATAGCTTATAACATTTTAAGTCTGCCATTAGTATAAGAACTTGTGAATGACAAACTAGAAACATACATGCATGCTTAGTTACGTCCACATATGACTACTGAGCCAAGTGTGTGCTGTAAGCAACAGGGTGGTTTGAATAAATGTGAAATGATGGGAGCTGTCAAAACTGTGGTCCTTAAGCAATAACACAGGCAAGGGTCAAGAACACATCACTTACAGTCTGCATTAATGAGAACTGTGTTATATAATTCTCATATGTCCATGATTTCCTAGCAGATTCCTAAGTTCATGTTATATCTGGAAATCGGACCAAATATTGTAGTTTTTATTGAGAAATATAGTCACTATTACAATACTCCATTAAAGAATGTCCAGGCTATGACTTGACTTTCTTTCTTTTTTATTTTTTAAAGAGTTACTTATTTGTTTTAGAGAGAGTGAGTGGCAGGGGGAGGCAGGAAGAGAGGGAGATAGAGAATCTGAAACAGACTCTCTGCCAAGCACGGAGCCTGATGTGGGGCTTGATCTCAAGACCCTGAGATCATGACTTGAGTTAAAATCAAGAGTCTGGCGCTCCACCAACAGACTCCCCCAGGCACCCCATGACTTGACTGTCAGCATTAGTCAACTGCTGACTTTGAGATTTAAGAACATTGACCTTAATTATTTATAAGCTATTGTCACTTGGAATAAAATTTTTTATATGTTATTGTTATTATTATTATTACTAGTGCTATTATTTTATCCACCTTTTTACCAAACTTGAAGAGTGTGAAGTGGACGTATGTGTGAGTTGGAGGAGAAGGAATGAAGGATGGTATAAAAATCAAATTGGATAACTGCTGTATTAGAAAAAAGACATCATTGTCACATTCTGTTGGATTTCTTTATGTTTTGTACACAATTACAATAGTAAAAGGTGGCAGCACTTGGGGTGGGAGAACGATTATTGCTTATTTCATTTGGAAAGGATTCTCCATTCACTTAAAGAGTGTGTTTAACACTCTTTTTTAACTCTAACTTTTTAAACTCTAATTTTAAAATTTTAAACAAAATTTGGAGGCCCCCACCTCCTAAAATCTACCAGAACCCTGGGTTTCCTTCTATCGCTGAAGTTTGAAAGCATGTGTGCTTTTAAGTCTCCTCTCTCCTGTGACAGAGAAGACTGAATGGAGTCCATGTCCATGTTGAAGATTGTAGTTCCTCGAGGGCAGAGACCGTCTGATGCACTTTTACGTCGCTATGCCTACTACCTCTGCCTCGCACACAGCAATTTTTCAATGACTGAGTAAATTGAATTCTCTCCACTGGCCATTGCAGTGTTGAAAAACAGTCTATATTTAAGATCAGAAACTATCTCTTAGAGAGGAAACATGCTTAGAAATAGAAATTATGTTTATCACTTCTCAGTATTATTTTTCATTGTTCAAGTTGTAAAAGCAGTTGTGTGGCTTTGATCCCCATCATTAGGACAAATCGTAGTCTGATTCAAAAGTTACCCTTCAGGGGCACCTGGGTGGCTCAGCGGATTAAGCCTCTGCCTTAAGATCTACCCAGGTCATGATCCCAGGGTCCTGGGATCGCTTGAGCCCCGCATCGGGCTCTCTGCTTCCCCCTCTCTCTCTGCCTGCCTCTCTGCCTGCTTGTGATCTCTGTCTGTCAAATAAATAAAATCTTAAAAAAAAAAAGTTACCCTTCAGCCCTACAATATAACAACAGAAGGTGAACATCTCTCAAAACTCATCAACGAAGAGATGTTTTTAAATGACCTATACATCCATAACAGCATTGCTTTAATGAAAGTTTTGGAGGAATTTTAAGAAGGAATTTCTCCACCCTTATCTTGTTTTTCTCAGCAAGGCAAAATTTTATTTTTTTTTAATCGAAGTTCTAAAGTCTTTGTTTTCATAGGAAACATATTATATATTACATGTTCCTAAATCTAAACAAGAAATGATCGTTTACTCCTCAAATTCAAGATCAAAATCAGGATTTTTCTTAAAGAATTAATGTTACAATCATTGTAATTTACTAAGATCTTGAAAATAAAAATTCCCAATTATAAAATATATTTATTTTAACCTTCATATGTTGGAAAAGTGACTTATCATGTTACATTATGAACGGCTGCCTTCCTTAGTAAGGTGACCCAGTTGGGTTTTTATTGGGCGTTCCCTCAATGTTTAGAGTTCCTCTACTTCCTTTTTTCCTTCACTTAGCACCTCGCACAGGCCCCAAGTACAGCTTCAGATACAAAGTGAGGTGTATGGCCATGCAACAAACTGATAGCATTTTGGGTCACACAGTGTTAGAATCAGGCAATTTCTTGTTCTCCGTGTATTTTCTTCATGTTACATCTCTAAATGTTTTTCAGGGGTGATTTAGTTGTCTGTGCAAATGACCTAACCTAATGATAACCCACAACTTTTTGTCTCCTTCTTTTTTTTTTTTTTTAAGATTTTATTTATTTATTTGAGAGAGAGAGAGAGCGCACAAGCAGGGGGAAGGGCAGCAGGAGAGAGAACCAAAACCCCTCTCAGCAGGAAACCTGATGTGGCGTTTGATCCCATGTGGGCCTTGATCCCCAGACTCCCGGGTCATGACCTGATCTAAGGGCAGATGCCTAACTAACTGAACCACGCAGGCATCCCTTTTTGTCTCCTTCTTTTCTGTTCTATTGCTATGGGTCACGGCATCCCTGCAGCAGAATTGTGGTAGAAATGCATTCCAAGTATTTCTCTCGATTTCCAATGAATGAGATATTGGTGTGCATGCATGTTTGTGTGTGTCTTATGAAAACACACAAGAGGCATTCTTCAGCTTGTGCTCTGAAACATACTACCTCAAAATTTAGTGGCTTAACACAACCACCTCTGGTATAACTCATAGTTCTGTGGGTTGGCAATGTGGGCTGGGCTCCACCAGACAGAGTTCCTGCTGTTTCCAGCTGGACTCATTGGTGAGACTGTAGTCAGCTGCGGATGAGTTTAGCGGCTCTGCCTTTAGGCTGTCAGCTAGAGTATTGGAGCAATTGGGCCAAGGCTCTCTCATCACCCCACCGGCCAGCCCAGCCTTGTTCATATGGTGGCTTCGGGCTTGAAGAGCAATGACGGTGAAGCCTCAGAGCCCACCCTTGGGGCTTGGTTTTCAAGCCTCCATTTTTGTCACTTGGAACTGACCCATTGACCAAAGCAAGGCACATGTCCAAACCCAGAACAGCGTACAGAAAGTCCTTCCAAACAGTATGGGGAGGCATGAACAAACAAACAGCCCTTCTTGCAGTCAGTCTAGAACTCTCTAGAAAACCCTAAGAAAAGGCATTAACCAAGAAAGATATCTCTTTTTAGGAGCCTTTCTCCCCTAAACCTGAAGCCAGTTGCTAACATGGATGAGACTTGCTGGCCTAGGAGGAGTTGCCCATGACAATGGTTGATGGTGAAATTCCTAGATATCATTCTACAGTGAGAAGCTAATTATACTATTATAAGGCTAGAATAATGAAGAAAATTCTGGGAAAAAAGCCTGCTGATCAGATGGCACTGCCAGACATCCAGCTGTACTAGAAACCTATTAATAATGGGAAACTAATGTCTGTTCAGCCACATAGGTCACAGTGGAACACAATATAAATTCTAGAATCATGTTAAAAAATATATATGCCCTTAGTACTTGATGAAAGCATCTCTTCAAGTCAGGACAAAAGTAGATTCATATTTATTTACTCACCACACATTTATGAAGCCACCTTCATGTGTTTCTGAACCAGTGTGTCTTCAACCTCTGACATGGGTCTAGCATTGTTCTAGGCACAGAAGACAAAGCAGTGAACCTAGAAGTCGAGCTCCCTGTTTCCTTAGAGCTAATGGTTTAATGAGAAGAGAGGTAAAATAAAGTCGCCCAAAACAAGAAATACACATTCAATAATAGATAAAACAGTAAAGTGCATTCAGATAGCGATAATTTCCATTAGGACAATAGAATAGGAGATTGTGTTAGAAAAAGATTGGTGGCCTCATTTGGAGGGGATGGCCGTGGAAAGTCTCTCTGAAGTGATTACATTTAAGAAAAACCAGAAAAATTAAAAGAAACCAGCTGTGACAAGAGCAGAGCTTTCTTGGCAAGATAATAACAAGAACAAAGGAAATGAGGCAGGAAACAGCTTGGTCTGTTCCAGGAACAAAAAATTAAGCCACAGGGGCACCTGGGTGGTTTAGTCATTTGAGCAACTGACTCTTGATTTCTGCTCAGGTCATGATCCCGGGGTCCAGGATTGAGCCCTGCACTGGGCTCTGGGCTCTGTGCTCTGTGTGGAGTCTGCTTGAGATTTTTTCTCTCCCTTTGCCCCTCCCCCTCCCTCTTCTCTTGCTCTTAAAGAAAAAAATCAAGCCAGAGCAACAAATGTAGAGTCAGTACCATGGAAGCAGAGAATCGATCAAGTCCAAGAGTTAGGGAAGAAGTGGGCTCTGGAGGCCTCTGGGGCCATGGGAATGAGGTCAGGTTTAGACTTTATCCAGATTTGGGGGCAACTGGCAGAAAGGTTTTCAACAAGGGAAATCAGAGGTGGTATTGTGACTTGATTTTTGTCTGGAGAAGATTATGCAGGTTGCAGGTGGAGAATGGACATAGTGAGACAAGATAATCAATAATATACATATTTAAAATAGGATATGATTTTTTATTTTACCTTTCAAACTGGTAAATTAAAAAAGAAGAAGAATCCAGGAGTTATCCCAGGAGTATAAAACTGACACCTATTTGAGAGAAATTCTTTAAAAATGCACATTGCAATTTCATTTTTTGAACTGTATCTAAAAGGCATTCTTGTAGTTCTATGCAGCTATATATAAACATTTTCTGAAGTCTTATTTACAGTAACACAAATTTCTCACAATAAGAAACTGATTAAACAATACTTTATATGGTATGATACAGTACAACTAATTAAAATCATTGCAGGAAAAAACCTGACTGATATATAGTCAAGTGTTCATAATATGTTTTATGTGATTAAAGCAAGTTATCAAACATCAAGGCAAAGGTAAGAGTATTTTGGTAAATAGTTGTAAAGAAACTATGCCAATGAAGGCATTCACCAAATTGTTCATAGTAATTTTACTTAAGGGCTGGGACTGTAGGTGAATTTTTCTTCTGCATGTCTGTGTTTTTCAAACCTAACGCGTTGCACATATGTAATTAGGTTTTTTTCATATTATGAAATAAAAATCATATATTTATAAAAGGGTAAGTACTCAAAAATAAAAGGAGTCCCTGGGCCTCTGACTAAAGGTAACTAACTGGAAAGCAGAAGTCAGAATAAAGGCTTCAAGGATGCTTGTGATAAAAAGTGCGAAACAAAGTTGTCCTGGTGCTGATAACAAGCACATGATCTGCAGAGAGAGGAGACCGTGGAGACCGAGCGTAAACTTAAAGTTCTGGAACCTGGGGGCCACAGACACTGCAGGTCCTGTTAGTCATCATTCAAAGGTCAGTCCCCGCAGCAGGGGGTCCTGGGGCCAGGTAATCATGTGAACACCCACAAGTAATCCCAAGTTACACTGTCCTCATATATGAGGTTGTAGCAGCTTTGATGGTGATCTAAGAAGCCCATTGGTTCGATTCTGCTCTGTTTATTAAAATAACCTTCAAACATGATAAAGCCAGTCAGTCCTCATCTTTGTGCACAAGTTAAATAGATAAACTCTCTGACCTCCTGAACATACAGAATCTTTAAAACACCGTAGTGATCAAACAAGTAACCTGCAAATCTAAACTAATGCTCAGTCTATGACTTTGACATTTGAACTCAAAAGACACCAGAAAACAATTCTGCCTACCGTACTCATTGTTGAAATTATACTGAATTTCTTTCGAGGGCTTAAGGGTTTTTTGGTTGTTGGTATTTTTTTTTTAAGATTTTTTTATTTCTTTATTTAACAGAGGGAGAAATCACAAGTAGGCAGAGAGGCAGGCAGAGAGAGAGGGGGAAGCAGGCTCCCTGCTGAGCAGAGAGCCTGATGTGGGGCTCCATCCCAGGACCCTGGGATCATGACCGGAGTCGAATGCAGAGGCTTAACCTGAGCCACCCAGGCGTGGGGGCCTAAGGTTTATACTTGTAAAACAACTTACTTTTTTGGAATTGTCAATAGTTGCTTTATATGGGAAACAAATGAACAATGATACTAAAAAGTGTGTTTAAGTGTGTGTGTGTGTGTGTGTGCGCACGCACTTATGCGTGCACTTATGCAAACAAAAGCACTTTGTATGCCCAGAACATCTCTAAGTCTGCGGAGCCCTTTTTGAAACTGGAGGTATTGAGCAAAAGCGAAGTCCCCAAATTCAATTCAGTCAGCTAACGACTTAATTGTTATGTAATTCCTCTTTTGTACTTCAGTGCAATAGTTTTCAAACTTGATGTCTACCACATTCTGGAGCTTACAAAAAATACAGGTGCCCGCAGCCCACCCCACGCCTCCTAGATCAGGGTCTCTTGTGTGCTTAGGCCCCGGGTATGCAGGTTCAGCAAGTCACATAGAGGTTCTGGGGTGCCCTGAGGAGCAAGAAACACTGCTCTGGGTGAAAAGGTGTTGGCTGGGAGAGGAGGCGGCAGTAGGACAAAGGAAAGAAAGCAAGACATTTCTAATTCAAAGAGCAGTTTTAAAGGAAAGACATGTGAATAGTGCCTATTCATTCATTCCTGGGTAGTGTCCCTTCTTACAGACTACTCCTCCGTAATCTGCACAGAGAGTAGAGGTCAGTTTTAGAGTCAGTCCCATTCAGTGGTTAATGTCAATTCAGGTCTCCAGATGTGTGTCAGAGAGCAAAGGAGCGTTCCTATCACGGTTCCTAAGGAGGAAAGTAAACACTCCCAACATGCACTGAGGCACAGGGAGTGGCTCAGGTTTCCAACCCTTCCCTGCTCCGGTGAGTAGGGGTAATGATTAACAGCTCCGGGGGCTTGTTGATCCTGCGGAGGGGCACTGCCAGGCTCAGAGCCAGAGCCGCCCGCGCGCAGAGCCAGAGCCGCCCCTCCTCCGCACTTGGCTCCGACCTCCGCAACAGGTGAGCGAGCCCTGCCTTCCCTGACAGTAGAGCTGGTGAATCTGTGCCTGAGCCGGGAACAGACTCTCCCGCGAGCAAACTCAGCTCAACAACTCAGGTACAAAGGCTTCTCCTGGCCACAGTGTGAATCCCAGGGGGGAAAAAAGGGGGTAGGGAAAAGAACCCCTTGCATCCACCCCCTGAGGTCAGGTTGAGGACAAGGTATTAGAAAACAGAATTCACAGGCAGTCAAGTTAAGTGTGTGCAGCCTGAAATGCGGACACTGTTTTCAGGATACCCATTCCTGACCAAGGTAAGCATATGGGGAGGAGGGAAGAGCTTGGAGGTAGGTGTGGCCACGGAAGCCCTTTTCCCTTTCCTCAAGGGAAATAGCTCAATGACTGCTTTACCTGGAGCTGCACTTACCCTCTGGAAGATACTAGCTCCTGCGTGACATCCCCCTTTTCTTGAATCAGCAGACTTGAAAGTACTTTTAAGTGAGAGTTCCCCTAAACTTTTATTTCCACGGAGCTACAGAGACATAGGCCCCTGAAAATTGAAAAGGATTTCTGATATAATTTAGTAAGACTTCACCAAACAATGAATGACTATAAATAATTAAATGGAAGCCCATGAGTTAAGGATACCAGTTTTGAAGCAGGAGAGTCGTAAGTTCAAATCCTGCCTTTGCCACTTACTAGTGTGTCCCTTACCAAGTTCCTTCACCTAAGCAAGCCTCACTTGGCATCACAAGATATGCCAATGGGGCTTTGGTGGGAATTAAACACTTAGCAAGCATTCTAAAAGTGGTACCTCCAGTTCGCATTAAGAAATAAGCAGGTCTGCCAAAAGGGCCAGATCAGCGAGGGTGAGCTAGCTGTGGAGGTCAGACCGTGTGAAGGTGGTAAGGGTAGAGTGGTTTTCAGAAAGTGGGTCTAGGGTGTGAGCAGATGGCAAATGGGCAAAACATTACCTCTATGAATGGCAGTGAAATAGCTGACTTCTTGCTACTTTTCGAACCGAGTACATGGTGTGACAAATGCAGAATTATGTGTTACTCATTCACCTTTACTTTGGAAAATTCACATTCACATTAACCTGTTATTCCTAATCAGGAAATATAGTTTTGTAGCAAGAGAGTTACACACAACCCCATATTGTGAAACACATGACAGTTAGTTTTATAAGACAGCTTGCCCTTGAACCACTTTGATAAAATAGACCATGTAGTCCATGACTTTATATTGCATTGTTTATGTTCAAGTGTTACAGACTTTCATTTGTGTTTACGGACAAGAAACATACAAGAACGATACCGGTGTTTTGTTGGTCTTTACCTCTGAACTTAAATCATAGGGAAGTGACCTTACTTTATGAAACTTTATTTTAAGGACACTTCCGTTAATGTTGCTGTTAGTTTTATTAAAGTGGGTAACTTTGATGAGGGGACAAATTTGGAAGTTGCGACTAGCAAAGTATTTTCACTAACAACATTTTATCTTTTCATTTCATTAATGTATATTTAAACAGCTTGCAGTTGATCCTAGCTTAATAACATCATTGTTTTAATGAATTCTTGTTTTGAACTACAGATTTGAAATTCTCCAATGTACTGATAACTGGAAATTGACTAGAGAATTAGGGATAGAGTTCTAAAGCCAACGAGACTGAACTTTATTATGTTATTGTCCTATGGGTTTTGATTTTGTCTAGTGTTTACATCTAAAAATTTATAAAATAATCTAATCTACTTAGAATAAATTATACTATCAGTAATCACTAATTTTCAAAGAGGAAATATTCCTTTATACTGAATAGATATGGTTGGAACTTCTTTTTGTTTTTTAAGATTTTATTTATTTATTTGACAGAGAGAGAGAGAGAGAGATCACAAGTAGGCAGAGAGGCAGTCAGAGAGAGGGGGGGAAGCAGGGTCCCTGCTGAGCAGAGAGCCCGATGCAGGGCTCGATCCCAGGACCCTGAGATCAAG